GGTGTGAGGCATGGTCCTGTTCCTTTGCAGGTGAAGATTCAGTTTTCCCAACCCCATTAATTGAAAAGGGTAACCCTTCCCCATTTAATGTTTTAGTCTTTTATAAAACCTTTGGTATCGTAGGCATTTGGTTGTGTTTCTGGGTTCTCAATTCTAACCCATTGGTCTTCATAGATGCTGTTGTACCTGTATCCAGGTGTTTTGATTACCAGGATTATGTATTAGGTTTTAAAGTCTGGAAGTGAAAGGTCTCCTACTTTGTTTTCATTTTCTAATAGTGTCTTGTTTACCCTGGCTTTCTTTCCTTTCCATGTAAAGTTGATTCGTTTATCTATTTCTTTGAAGAGTTGTGGTGGGATTTGGATTGAAATTGAGTTGAATTTGTCAGGTGTATTTGGTAATACTGTCATTTTCTAGTCTACATATACAGGAGGATGGTAGCTGGTTCCATTTGTGTTTCTTTTGGTTTCTTCTAGGGATGTTGTGTGGTTTTCTTGGGATGCTTGTTTATCTGGTAAGATTTATTCCAAAATGTGTTGTTTTGTGTAGTTTTAGAGAATGGTATCGTTCCTTTTTGGTGCCATCTTCTTTAATATACAAGATTCCAAATGATTTCTCTATGTTGATCTTATGGCCTGCTAGGCTGCCAAAATTTTCAATTACCTCCATTTAAAAACATGGAATCTTTTGAGTTTTTTATGTACAGGATTATATCATCTGAAAATAGTGTTGTTTCTTCTGCGCCAATGTGGATACCTTTAATACCTATTTGATGTTGTACAGCTCTAGGTAAAACTTATAGGCCTACATAAACGTGGTGATAAAGGGCAGCCCTTTCTGGTTTGTTTGAAGGGGGACTGTTCTCAATTTCTCTGTACTAAGTGAGGTGCTGGCTATTGGTTTCGCCTATGTGGCTTTTATTATGTTGAGGAATTTCTCTTCTATTCCTATTGTGCTGAGTGTTTTTATCAGGAGTGGATGTTAAATTTTATCAAGTGCCTTTTCTGTATCATTTGACATAATCATATGGTTCTTATCCTTTATGTGAATTACATTGCTTTTGGAATATTAAACTAACCTTGTATATTTGGCATGAATCCCACTTGTGATGTATTATTTTTGATGCTTTGTTGAATTTTGTTGGCTAGAATTTTATTGAAGATCTTGGCAACTATATTCATTAGCGATATTGGCTTATAATTTTAAATTCTGGTGATGTCTTTGCCTGACTTAGGTATCAAAGTTATAGTTGCTTCATAAAATGATTTTGGTAGTATATTGTCCATTTGTACACTGTGAAATAGTTCATGTAGAATTGGTATTAACTCTTCCCTAGATGTTTGATAGAATTCAGTAGTGAAACAACTACTGATGTTGGGAATTTTTTATGACTAGATCTATTTCCTCTTGTGTTATAGGCTTGTTAGATTTTCTACATCAGTCTGTGGCAATTTGGGTAAATATTGGGTTTTTTTTAAAAAATTTATCCATTTCTTCTACATTTTCAAGTTTCTGGAATGCAATTCTTCATAATACTCCTTTTAAAAAATCTCATTAGGCTCGGTCATAATATCACTCATTTTACTTATTCATAGAATTTGCTTTTTCTTCCTTTCCTTTGTTAGGCTTGCCAGTGGCTTATCCATTTTGTTAATCTCTTTGTAAGTACAATGAGTACTAGAGAAAAATCTAAGTTTTGTTTTTTTGAGTGGAGTTTTATATATTTGTCTAAGAGATCAAGTTGTGTTGATGCTTCTGTATTTTTAATGTTCTTTCTAGTTAATCCATCTTTGGTTGAAAATCTAGTATTATATTATAGTCTATATGTCTCTTCTTTTTTGTAAGAATTTATTTTGAAGGTCTTTTTTTGTGCATATATATTTATTACAGTTTCTTGTTCAATTAAAGCTTTCTTGCTGATGGTGCTTGGCTATCAAAAGATAGAGCATCTGGGATCTTAAAGGCTTGAAAATAAACAAGCGGCCATCTAGCTGAGAAGCAACAAAGCCCTCATACAAGAAGCACACCAGAAGTGTCGATGGCATCAGGTATGAGGCATCAAAGAACAAAAAATCTCATCCTTGTGAATGCGGGGGAGTTCGGAGTGGAGATCCAAAGCCCATCTGTAGGCAACAGGACATCCCCTTACAGAAGGGTGTCCAGGGAGGAGACAAGTCAGTCAGGATGCAGTATAGCACCGATGAAACATACAACTTTCCTCTAGTTCTTTAATGCTTCCTGCACCCGACCCTCCCCCCACTATCATGATCCCAATTCTACCTTACAAATCTGGCTAGACCAGAGCATGTACACTGGTACAGATCAGAGCTGGAAACACAGGGAATCCAGGACAGATAAACTTCTCAGGACCAATCATGAGAGTTGCACTATCAGGAGGAGCAGGGTAAGGTCGGGTAGAAAGGGGGAACTGATCACAAGGATCTACATATAACCCCTTCCCTGGGGGCTAGACAACAGAAGAGTGGGTAAAGAGAGATGCCGGACAGTGTAAGACATGACAAAATAATAATAATTTATAAATTATCAAGGGTTCGTGAGGGGGGCAGGGGAAAAATGAGGAGCTGATAGCAAGGGCTCAAGTAGAAAGCAAATGTTTTGAGAATGATGATGGCAACAAATGTACAAATGTGCTTGACACAATGGATGGATGGATTGTGATAAAAGTTGTATGAGCTCCAATAAAATGATTAAAAAAACATTTTCTAAAATTGATTGTGGTGACGATTGCACAGATCTTAATATGATTGAAAGATTAAATTGTGTGATATGTGAAGTATATACCAATAAAACTATTTTTTTAATAGAGACTTCAATAAAGAGTTAAAAGAAAAAAATAAAGCTTTCTTATTACATAGTGACTGTGGTAGTTACATAATTTCACAGCAACTTGATATAGACAGTGAAGGGTGGAGTCCAGCCTGTCAGTCAGGTAACAGCTTGATGAGGCTTCCTTGTGGGTGTGGCCTTCTCCAGAGGACTCTGGGAACTCCCTTTTTGTCTCCCTGGAGGAGGGCCACACTCTCTCTGCTTCACTTTCCTGCTGTTCCGGAACCATACTTGGAGAGATGCTTCCACTGCCACTCAATCCACAAGGCTTTTCACCCACCAGACTGTGATCTTCCAGCATTTGGCATCACTGTGAGTGGCTATGTGAGTCTGAAGAGGAATTTATGGACTAGTATTGGACATATGGGCTAATATCGGACTAAGGTACTTGATCTGCACTGTGCTGGGATGTTTTCTCAATATACAATTGCTTTGATATAAAGCTCTCTTACACAGGCATGAGTGTCTCTGGATTTCTCGTCAACCCAGACTAACAGTTACTACCTTCTTTGCCTCGCATTATGTCATTTACTTTGACATCTATTCTTTTGACTGCCATTAGCTTGATGTATTTTTTCCCATCCTTGTATTTTTAGTCTTTTATTTAAAGGGTAATTCTTGTAAGCAACATATTAACGGCTCTTGTTTTATTTATTGTTAGTCTTTGTCTCTTAACAGGTAAATTCTATTTACATAAGTGTTATTGTTTAACATAGTTGTTGGCGTCATTTTATTTTTAATGGTAATACTGATTTCAAGTTTCACAATTTTTTGGTATATTCCTTTTATTGGTTGTCTTGTCAGTACCTTCTTTTTCTGTTTTATCTGTTTAACTTGCCAATATGATTTTCTTTTTTGTTTTATTGAACCTTTAACTTTGAGGGTTGCTTATATTTTGGTGGTTTTCTTTCCATGTTCAAATTATTTGTTGTCTTTTGCAAATGGTTTGTTATCTTCAGTTTCACTATTTATTGTTTACTCTATTCCATTAAAAAAAAAACTTCATCATAGTGTTCTGTGATTCCTTGCTTTGAATTATTTAGTTCTATTTTCTTTTGAGTATTAAAGATCATGTGTCTTCCATAGTAATTTCTTTGCTGATAAAGCTTGCTGTCTGTTGTTAGAAAAGGATTTTACAGTCTTGGAAACCCTGTATTGGGTCACTATGAATTGGAATAAGCTCAATGGCAATGGTTTGGTTTTGGTACAAACATAAAGCACATAATTTCTATGAGATAATCATTAAGAATATTTTGTTTTTGAAATAAAATGCTTATAAACATGCTGCAATGAAGTAATATTACCTGGTATGGCTCTTTTATCCATAATCTTTGTAATTCCCAAGTGACTGGGTGGGATCATGCAAGTTAAGGTGTAAAAAACTGATGAGTTTTGTCATTTTTCTGGGCATAAATTGAGCCATTTCAGAAGCAAAAAGAGGGAATCCTGCCACCGGCAAGATTCTTTCATGAAGTGGTAGTGACAGTTAAGGCACAGAGGCCAAGGCACCAAGACCACGAGGTAGCACAGGCTTCTTGGTCCATGGAATGAGTAAAGTTGAATGCTTTGGGGCAGAAGCTAGGTACGATATTTAAAAGCACTAAAGGAGTTTTGTGACATGTGCAGGGCAGTCCATGGGCCACATAGCTAAGAATATTGGAGACCAGAGAAAGACAAGTGTGCCAACATGGCTGAGCAGAGGTGTTTCAGACAAAAGGACCCTATCCTTGGAGTTCTGATCCTGATGTGTAGTTAACTTCCCATGTAACCCTCCATAATCATGAATGATGTCTGTGGGTCCTATGTGGCCAAGTCACAGATTATTGGCCCCACTGTGGAAGGGACAGTTGGTGTCAGAATGGGGTAAAGGGAGTTGGTAGTTGGAGGCATATTTGACTTTGGTCTCATAGGAACCAACCTTGCACAGATGTGGAGTTGATTCTTCTCCTTTGTTTAGCCATAGTAAGGTCAGATGTGACCCCCACACCCTTTCTTCACATGCCAAGTAAGAAAATGAGTCCCTCTTCCCCTTTCTGAATGCTGAGTCAACAGGACACAATGGTAAATAGAGGCAAAGAACTAGCATCCCCTTCAAAGGAGCCCTCTCTCAACCCCCAGCACCACACCTTCTTGTTTCCCTACAAGTCACTCACGCTCCACGATGTCACTAATGTAATAACTGAAGATGTGGGCCAGTTTGTCCATGTCATGCTCCGACTTGCATGTGAGGCTGAATCTGTCCATTAACGCTGTAAACCCTGACCAAGAAAGCAAAATTGACCAGATGTTAGCTGCAAGTCCCAGAGTTTTTAGTCCTTCCACCCATCAGACCAGTGTAAGGAAAGCCAGGGCTGAGTACTCCCGTTATTCTTTTAACACAGTGTTACTTAGAAAGCAAAGCGCTTAGGGCCAGGCAGCCTGCTGCTTCTGGAAAATCAGATTCCCAAGGATCACTCTGTCCAGGTTTCCAGGAGCTGCGGTCGGGGAAGATTCACCCTTTTTATGGGAAATCGGCTCCTCTCTCCCACCACACTGTAAGGCTCCCAGACCAAGAGAAGGTTTCCCACTTGAGAGGGAGAAACCACCTACAAAGGGATGGGTCAACGTTTTGCTAGGGACCTCATATGGGGACTTCTTGAAGACAGGCACCTGCTCTTACTCATCATCACACCCATGACAGACAAAAAACGCTCTAGATCAGGGGTGGGGAATGGCTGACCATTGGGCCTACAATCCTCAAACCAAACTCACTGCTATTTGATTCAGGGCAGGATGGAATTGCTTCTGGGGAGTTTCGGAGGTTGTAACTCTTAAGGAAATAGGGAAGCCTCATCTTTCTCCGGCATAGTGGCCAAGTGGTTTGAACTGCTGACCTTGTGGTTACAAGCTAACCCATTAAACACTCCAATAGCAGGGCAGCGAATTAGGCCATATTATACCCGCAGAATCATCACCACCAGTTAACATCATGCCTCGCCTAA